GGTAGCTTAGTGCCGCTGGCCGGAAACTAAAGCTTTGTTAAGTTCAGGTGGGGACCACACTTCAGAGGTTGAGCAGTTTCCTAGGGTGGCTCAGGCTCTGGGTTTGATTCCCAGCACTGCAGAGGCAGGAAACTGCTCTGTTGTTCTGACCTAGCTGTGGCTCATCTATGGGACAAATAACAGCATGGGACCCTTTGATGAGACAGGGATCAAGGACCTGGAGAGCCATCTTGCTTCTCTTGCAGAAGACCTGGGTTTGTTTCCCAGCACCCACTTGGCAGCTCACAGCCTCTGTTACCCCAATTCTGGGGTATCTGATGCCCTCTTCTGGCCTCCTTGCATCCCTCCCTAGCACTCATGGGTTGCACAAATACATGAAGGCAAACACCACAAATAAAATAAATAATTTTCTTTTTAAGTATACACATTTAAGGGCTGGAGAGCTGGCTCAGTGTTTAAGGTCACATGTTACTCTTCCAGAGGACATAGGTTCGGAATCCATCACCCACATGGGACAGCTCACAGCTGCCTATGACTCCAGCTCCTGAGGCTCCAAAGCCACCTTCTGGCCTCCAAGGACACAGGTTTATGTGCATACCTATACACGAACACACACACATACGGTTTTTAAAAATAAAAAAATAAAATTAGAATATACACTGTTATTTAAAAATAAAAAGACAGATCAAGACCCCTCTCTGCTTTTGTCATCAGATGGCTAAATAAGTGGTTCAACGGTAAAGCAACCCAGACCCTAGATTCGGGGGTACACCTCAACAGCAGAGTACGAGGCCCTGGGTAACAACCCCAACATCACAGAACAAGTGAAGGAGTAATATAATCCGAATTTTTTTTCCAGAATTATTTTTCCTGTTCTTTTAAAACACAGATGAAAAGGAAAACCAAGGCTTCTAAGGTACAGGCATTATACAGAGCACTAACACACAGTCTGGGTGACTCCTCTAGGCAAACCCTAGCCTGGCAACACCCTTGTTAAGGAACACAGAGACACCTGCTAGATAAGCTGGATAGCGCGGCCCAGCATCTCGCCGAAATCAAGTGGCGTTTATCTTCGGAAATGGCTCTCAAACATTTTTATCTCATCAGCATGAGCTTTCCAACAGAACCTTGGAGCTATTAGCTAGAACACGAGGGCTTTTTAATAGCTCCTAACGCAGTGAGCCCCGGTAATTTAGAAGAGAGCGGATGAGCTGACAGGAGCAGGGGATTTCTGCTGAAGAAAACAAATGCGTTCTCTGCTGCCCTGCTTCTGCTTCTGCCTGGGCAGAGGCAGGCACACACGCGGGAGTGGGATGGAACTTTCCAGCGGGTGGTTTTGCAAGAGGGAGCGTGTTGTGAAAATGAAAATTACTGATAATTAGCTGTAAGCGCCTGTAAGGGAGAAAAATGGTGACACATTACAGACTCTGTTTCTATCGGGGACTGAGTCTTATTGGGGGCTGGGTGAATTCATGTGTCTTTTGCAGGGGGGTTTAGCAATGTGTCAACACTTAGACCCAGCAATCCCACTTCTAGGCAACAAAATATTTAGAGATGATTTATTATTGCTTGTGTGTGTGTGTGTGTGTGTGTGTGTTAGGCATACGGGGGTGCACGTGTGACAGCCTGTGTGGGAAAGTCAGAGGGCAACTTCTGGGGAGTGGGTTCTCTCCCTCCATCCTTCTGTGGGGTCCAGGAATTGGACACAGATATTTCAGCTTTCACAGCAAGCACCTTTACCTGCTGAGTCATCCTGCCATCCTGGAAATCAATTTTATATCAATATAATACTCTCCATGTTCAAAAAGGAATACCCAGAGGGCTGGAGAGGTGGCCCAGTGGACAGGAGTACTTGCCACCAAGCTTGGTGACCTGAGTCTGAGTCCTGGAAGCCACTTGGGAGAAGAGAGAACCAGCAGCTCCTCCAAATTGTCCTCTGACCTCCACAGCGTGCTATAGCATGTATGTGCCCACACAATACACATAAATGTAAACACATCATTAAAGGAATAGCTGGAAAGATGTTCGCCGTGGTACCAGTTTCATGTGTGAAAGCTAGAAGTGGAGGGGGGGTTTGGCTCGGTGTTACAGCCTTGGCTGGTCCATGCAAGGCCCTGGGCCACCACACTCCCGGGACTGCAAAAACGAAAGACGAGATGTAACCTATGTCCATCAATATGGTATAGCCATAGTTTAGACTAATTCTCCGCTAGTAAATGGAATGAAATAAATCTGTATACTCTGATAAAGATGCCCTTGATATGTGAGGTGGTGAAAAAATGCAAATTGAAAAATAATATCCATCATCCAATTCCATTTAAAAATGTCTTTAATGTTAATATATTCATAAGCCTATCTATCTGGGAGAATATATCCTGACGATTACCAGTGGTTACCTCAGGGGGGATGAGAAACATTGTCCGTAATGTTTACATTTTTATGAGCACGCATAACTCTTGCCAAGGAATGGGGGGGGGGGAGTTGAATTACTTCCTCAAGAGGAGAAGGAAGATGAGAAATGGCTGGAAATAATAGTCTTAGTTCCGTTTCTAGGTAGAAGGGTTCTTTGTACTTCCACGGTGAGTGTATCTCAGATCCAAGCCATCTGGGCAAGGGTGAGGGTTCTTCAGCATGAATCAAAATGCTGTTGGCACACAGGGAGCCTGACGCCCCAAGTCTGCACTCGGCCTTTCTCCCGACTCTCTCTCTCCATGCTGCGAGTACCATCATGCAATTACACTCATGGTTCCCACCCAGCTCATTCCCATTCCTGTGTGCCAAACACGTCACAGGCCATTCCAAGACCTGGCTTTGTGGCCTGCACTGCCTCTACTGCCACTCTGCTCCCCAAAAACCTATTCATGTCCCCTTCTTGGAAGGATCTGCTCTTCCTTAGAGTGCTAGGTGCCTGCTGCTTTACTGCACGTTTTGTTGCTTAACTGCCTGTCTGCCCCAGACATTGGGTTTCTGCACAGCAGCTCCACTGGGGGAAATCTCAGCACCAATCTCACTGCAGTGTGGAGAGTGTAACCATTCTTCCAGTTGAATGAGTCTGAGCTGTTCCTGCCTCTATCCCCAGCCCTACTGGGCCTGGGAATTTTTTATTTACATCATGGTGACCCTGTGGCAAGAGCTTGGTCTTTAATTTCCTTAAGAGGCCTCTTCTCCTCACAGGCTGTTTGACTCCACTGGGTCCCTGCTCATAACCCTTCAAGGATGGCCTAGAATGAGAGAGACCATGATGCGTGGCCAGGCCGGAAACCACATGCTTATGTGAATTCGAGCAGGTTGCTCTCTCCTGAGCTTCACCTGTAAAATGGAGATGATGCTCAAGCTGTTCTCCTGTTCCTGCCCCCACCCCCATCTCACCACAGGAGTTCAGAGGTTACAGACTCGGGCCACCGCATCTGGTTTTCCATGGTTCCGGTGATCTAAACTTAGGTCTTCACATTTGCACAAGTAAGCGCTCTTTTGCCTGGATTCTCTCCACAGCCCCTTAGTCGGGATCGTTGTTGTTTTAAGTGTTTATTTTATGTGTATGAATGATCACATTATGTATGTATGTATGTATGTATGTATGTATGTAATGTGCATGGCTGGTGCCCTCAGAGCTCAGAAGGAGGCATCAGATACGAGAGCTCCTGGAGCTGGAGTAACAGACGGTTGTAAGCCACCGAGTGGGTGCTGGGAACTTGACCGCTGAGCCACATTCCCAGCCCCATTGGCTGACATGGTGTCATTTACTGTGATTGGGAGGCAGCTCAGGGCTTTGAACACGCTAGACAGTCTCCCTAGTGCTGAGTCTCCCCACCCAATCCTACTAGTTCGTTGCCATTTTCTTTCTACAGCAAGATCTTTCAGAATTTCTCAGTTCAACCTAAAATTTCAGAATTTCTCAGTTCAACCTAAAACTCACTATGCAGTCAAAGCTTGCTGAGACTCACCACCCTCCCGCCTTGGCTCCACAATTAATTTGGAATGCAGGAGGTCGAACTGATCTTTGAGAGGCAAGGTAAAAAAGAAAGTACAGTTTGCAAATGGTCTGGGAGCTCAGCCGTGTCCTGAAGGCTCCTGCCGTCTTGAGCAAATTTCTCTCATGGTGTAAAGAAATCCCATTTTCTGCAGAGAAGACATGTAAATTGAAGAGCCTTTGTGAGACCATCCCCTAAGGTGCAGGGACTGTTCTCTGATCCTAAAATTGAACGTAAAGAGGAGGGAATGTTTGCCCAATGTGTTTCCTTTTGTGAAGCATTTTATCTGTTATCAGACTTGAAAGGTCTTTTCGTGTGAAGAAGCCATGGCCAGTTTCTAACTATCACAATATCCTGGTGGTGGAGTGGGCATGTTTTAATTTTTTTTTTCTAAATCTTAAAAATCTCCTACAACTTAGAGTTAGAGATGATAGCTGCACAATATTGTGAATGTGGTAGCCCGTGTCTTTATCCCAGCTCTTGGGAGACAGAGGCAGGTGAATGGCTGTGAGTTAGAGGCCAGCCTGGGCTACATGGCAAATTCCAGGCCAGTTGCACAGTTTGACCATCTCAAAAAGAAAAAACAAAACAGAAAACAAAGCAACAACAACAAAACCACTTATGTAATATACTCATGATTTAAAAATCATTCGTGGAAAATACAAAAAAAAAAGGTGGAGGGGATGTGGGGGGAAGCTGGAGAGATGACTCAGGTTAAGAGCACTGGCGGCTCTCTCAAAATCCTGACTTCAATTTCCAGCAGCTACGCCATGATTCACAGCCATCTATAGTGAAATTTGGTGCCCTCTTCTGGCGTGCAGGCGGAAGACTGTATACATAACAAATAAATAAATAAATAAATCGTTCCTAGTTTGAATCTACAAAGCATTTGCAAGGCTTTATAGCAGGTTAGCGTGCAGTCCCAGGCTGGGACTGTAGCGTGCTCCTCCAACCGCCAGGGGGAGCGACGGAGCCCCGGCTTCTCAGAAGGCCGCCAGTCGCCGGCTCTGGAGCGTGCGTGCGTGGAGGGGCGTGGCTCAAGTGGAAGCGCGGTCCTCACGACCCGAAGTTGCGAGCTCGGTGTAGGCGCTGCACGCTCTACCCTACCGGCGTGCCAGCCATCCGGCCCGCCCGCCCATGGCGGTGCAGGCGCTGCAGAGCTCGGGCGTGGGCCTGCGCAGGATCCTGGCTCACTTCCCCGAGGACCTGAGCCTGGCCTTCGCCTACGGCTCCGCGGTGTACCGCCAGGCGGGACCCAATGCACACCAGGAGGTGAGTCCCCAGACCTGCGCCTTTCCAACCAGCCACCGGCCTGGCATCTGCTCACCTTCGCCGGTTCCCGGGTGTGCCTTCCGTCCCCTCGGACCCCAGACACGCCAAGCACCAACTAGTAAAATGTTCATCCTATCAAAGTGACTTCGGCATGAGGGTTTTCCAGGTCTGAGCTGGCTGGAACTCACCATGTATTCCAGGCTGGCCTCGAACTCACAGTGCTGGCATTAAAGGCTCGTGCTGCCACGCCCAGTAAATATGTTTGTTAGCCTTTACGTTTACTTACTTGTTGGTTATGTGGCAAGCACACAAGCGTAACCAGCGTACACTTGAAGGTCAGAGGACAACTTGAGGAAGTTGGCTCTTTCCTTGCACCACGTGGGTCCTGGGGAGATTGAGCTCAGTTTATTCGGTTTGGCAGCAAGGGCCACTCACTATCTGCTGAGCCGTCCCACTGGCCTGAACTGATAGGATCAGAGAAAGATAAGTAGTCTGTCTACTTCCGTTCAAACCGGGAGCTGTTAGGAAGAGGTGGTGGAGAAAAGAAGCCGATTCAACATAAGTGGCTTCAGCCTTTGTCACTGGAGTTTCCCAGCGCTTTTTTTAGAAATACAAAATGGTTTTGTCTCCAGGTTGATTTCCTTGGCCTAGGATGAGGCTTGGACTTGATCAGTGTGTAAAACATCTCACGGCCAAGTTTGAAAGCCACAACTGAAGATAAGAAAATAGGAAATGATTCCTGGGCTTTAGGAAAGCTGATGGACTGGGTGTAGGACCGGGGCAGGTGACGGTGCATTTCTTCCGCCCAGCACACTAACAAGACTGTAGTTAGGACTGAGCCTTGTTGCTTTCCAGAATTGACGGAGAAGAGCAGCCTAAGTCTTAATGTGGCCTGCAGAAATCAGTGCACAGATTACAGTTGGGCACCCTGGGTCTCGCACCTGGCCAGATCTGTCTCCTGGTATTGCTTGCATCTCTCCTGTCTCCCACCTGTTTTCTCTCACTTGGCTGTGCATGTGTATTATCATAATTACTTTTTTACAATTCTCCATCAGCCAGGCAGTGTGGTGCACACTTGTAATCCTAGTCTTAGGGAGGCAGACACAGATCGCTGGGGCCCACTGGCTCCCAGCCTAGACTGGTGAGCTCCAGGCCAGTGAGAAATGGTCTCAGAAAAAGTGGATGGCGCCTGAGAGCAAAACTCAGCATCCTCCTGCCTGCAAACACACAGACTCATGTATCTGTACACACACACACACACACACACACACACACACACACACACGGACTCATGCATCTGTACACACACACACACGCCCTATCCAAACCCAGTATCCTCCTGCCTGCAAACACACGGACTCATGCATCTGTACATACACACACATACACTAGTGCCCTATCCAAATCCAGTATCCTCCTGCCTGCAAACACACGGACTCATGCATCTGTACATACACACACATACACTAGTGCCCTATCCAAATCCAGTATCCTCCTGCCTGCAAACACACGGACTCATGCATCCAGACACACACACACACACATGCCCTATCCAAACCCAGCATCCTCTGGCCTGCAAACACACACACACTCACTAATGCCCTATCCAAACTCAGCATCCTCTGGCCTGCAAACACACGGACTTGTGCATCTATACACACATACACACACAATAGTGTCCTATCCATGACCTCCAAATCTTAATATCACCAATGGTTTGAGGTTACCGTGGGAAACCCATAGCATCCCTCATCCTCCTGATAGCCGTCCTGTACTCACTCCGTGAGGTTTTCCTTTGAGCTGACCTAGGATTCTCTCCTAGAAAGTGCTTCTTTCTCCTTAATTTCCATTCTCTACGTTCGTGCTAAGAAGTCTGGTATTCTCCGACTCTGTCAGTGCCTTACTTAATAACACCATTTTGTTTCTTGGGTGGAATCTTCCAGTTGCTCTCTCAGATTTTCCTCCTCGTAACCTCTCCTCCCTCTGGAAGATTCTTTAGTATGGGAAAAACCTGGTCTCATTCAGTACCACAAGAAGTATGTTTTCTTACCATAGCTTCAGACTGCAAGTCCTGGAGCACGCCTGGCCGAGCAGCCTTGGGGAGCAGTTTCCTCTAACCCGACTGCCGTTTCCATGCTTCCTGGGTTACTTCTCCAGCCTGTGCGCCTCTTACATTCTTCAGAACTCATGTGTCATGTCCAAGAAAAGTCCTTCCTCCCTGTTCCTTTGTTCCAGTTGCTATATTAGATGTTCCTATATAGAGTCAGTTTAGGCATAATTTGTCTTATCTTCAGTGCTAGGCTCCAGAGCTTATTGGGTTTTTTTTTCCTAATGATTTTTAAATTTTTTTTAAAGGTTTATTTATGTGTATACGTACTTTAACCCATGTGGTTGTATGTGGACCACATGCATGCCTTGTGCCCACAGAAGTCAGAAGAAAGCATCAGTCCTCTGGAACTAGAGTCATAGATGGTTGTGAGCCACCATGTGGATGTTGGGAATAAAAGATCCTCTACAAGAGCAGCCATGCTCTTAACCACTGAGTCATCTCTCCTTGGTTCTGCCACACTTGGGTTCTACACCCTGGCCCCTCATCTCCTTTCCTATACAGTTGGGATAACATACCTGCCTTGTGAGATATTGTAGAAATAAATTGATCCTTCGTATGTCAACCCACAGTGAGTGAGTGTGTGATCTCATCACCCGCATGGCTGAAAGCCAGGTTAGCGTTACTCTGTGGGACCTGCTTGGGTTTCTGATGACAGCCCTGGGTCTTCTGACCATGACATGTACTTTTGTAGCACTTTACGAATTTTTATTATTTCTCTAGTGTTTTCTTTACGTGTTAGTGCTGAACCCTTTCTTGTCCCTTCGCCTTCCAGAATCCCATGCTAGACTTGGTGTTCACAGTAGATGACCCTGTCGCCTGGCACGCCAAGAACCTGAAGAAGAACTGGAGCCACTACTCCTTCCTCAAACTCTTGGGGCCCAGGATCATCTCTTCTGTCCAGAATAACTATGGTGCCGGCGTCTACTTCAACCCACTGATCATGTGTGATGGGAAGGTAAGAGCCTTGAGGCCCTGGCCCTAACTGGGCAGTTCTAATTTGGCAGGAGAATCCTGGTGAGATCATATGTCTGCATTCTGAGGAAGCAGTCACACCCCGTCCAGCTTTCTTAAACCCAGGCACAGACAGAGCTAGAGTCTTGGTCTGTCAGGCTGTGGCTGGGGTATAAGAAACGGCTGTCAGTGACTAGACTTAACTTATCTTTTGAACCTTGGCCAAGTAGTTCCCAAGTTTTAATCTGTTGGTCGCACTGAGTAGTGGGTCCTGGGTGGGGATTCACATTTTGAGGACCGCTGTCTGGGAGGTATGGAGAAGCAGCAGGGCCACTGTGGAGCAGGATAGAGTGACGTCATCTAGGAGGAGTGGGGACTGCCAGGAAGTGAAGAAGCTCTCCGGTGCTGGGAGCATGTGGCGTCAGGTGACTGAAGGGAAGTTCTTGGTGTCACCAGGTGGGTAGGATTTGAGAGTTGCATGTTAGAGGATAGGTAAGATGTTTAGATCACCCCCACCTCCCAGATTTGTCTTATGTCAGGAACCCTACATACATGTAACACTTCCAGTCTAACTGCTATGTAGTCAAGGCCCTGGCCATACAGCTTAGTGGCTGAACACTTCCCTGGGTCCTGGGTCTGTTCCCCAGCATGGAGAGGGATCTAACTCAGTAAAGCATCCAAGTTTCCCAGAGGGCTGCGGGGGAGATGGGAGAGAGAGAGAGAGGGAGTTGGGTTTGCCTGTGCTAATGCTAATGCCAATTGCTTAGGGCAGTCTAACCTTTACAGGTGTGTGAGTCTCCTGGGGATCGTGTTAAAATGCAGGTCCAGATTCAGTTGGTCTGGGATGGAACCTGAGATTCTGCATATTTGACAAGCCCCCAGGTAATGATCCTATAATTGGTCAAAGGACCAGGCTGTAAAGGCCAGGAGGTTAGCGTAACGACATGAGAAGGGTTTGAAGACCTGTCTGAACTTGGCAGAGAAGTGATTGACTGCGCAGTCATGTCTTCATAATCTTGAGGCCATCCCTTTTCTTTTTTTCTTTTTATTTTGTTATTGTTGTTTTCTTTCTTTTCTTTCTTTGAGACAAGGTTTCTCTGTGTAGCTCTGGCTGTCCTGGAACTCATACTGTAGACCAGACTGGACTTGAACTCAGAGATCTGCCTGTCTCTTCCTCCCGAGTGCTGGGAATAAAAGCATGTAGTACCATGCCCAGATATGCATGGGTTTTCCGGTCTGCCTGCTCTATGCAGTCAAGGAAACCTCCGTTTGGAGAGGGAAAGTGACTTTCTAAGGTCCTACCACTACTTGGTGGCAAGTCCCTGAACTCCCAGGCCCGCAGTGGCCCTGGGGCGGCCGAGCTGTCACTTTTCTGAAGCAGTACAGCGCATCATTTGGTTCTTCCTTCATAATTAGTACTCTGCCAAGCCTGTCTTTGATTAGTAATCTCCAAACAACAGCATAAGCGCCAGTAAACGAATGTTTGCACGCTTCTGTGCCGTAGTTCTGTCTGTGCACGCTTGTGTGCCATAGTTCTGTACTCTTTAGTTGTAATTTGTTAGCTACTTTTTAAATATTTGCAGCCTGAGAAGACTACTTAAATACTTGTTGACACATGTAAGAGGAAGTAAGCTTGGAAATTCACACCGGAGGTTTACACAAATTATTGTGGAAATGGCCTCCTCTGTGATTCCATGTGCTTAGCACTGATAAGAGGATTTTCATCTTTGGTTTATTTGTAATTGTTACCATTTGAAAGAGTCGGCAACAGCACTGAACGCCACCATAGGGAAAAGGCCAGTAAGCACTTTTAATTGAAGAATTCCTAATATTTTGTGATGCAAAGAATGTGGGAAGACCAGGCAGCAATTCTAAGTGTTAAGCCCTTAGGGTTTTCTGTTATTTGAGACTCTTTGCTATCCAGGCTGGCCCCAAACTACACTGCGGCTCAAGCAATACAGCTTTCCCCTGGGTTCTGGGACGGCAGGCCTGTGGGCATGCTTTACTGGGCCAGCTGCAGGACCTAGGAGGCATGCATTACTGTGCCCAGCTGTAGGACCTAGGGGACATGCATTACTGGGCCCAGCTGTGGGACCTAGGAGGCATCATGCATTACTGTGCCCAAATGCAGGACCTAGGAGGCATGCATTGCTGTGCCCAGCTGCAGAACCAAACTCTCAATCTGCTGGTGCAGCGCCACAGTGACATGTCATTTACTGTTGCTGGATCTCAAATTTCTTTTTAAGATTTACAGTGTGTGTGTGTGTGTGTGTGTGTGTGTGTGTGTGTGTGTGTGTCTGTCTGTTTCAGTCAGGACACAACTGGCAGGATTCCGTTCTCTCTTTCCATCTTATGGGTTCTAGGGTCAAACTCAGGTCATCAGGATTGGCCACAAGCAGCTTTACCTACTGAGCCCTTTTACTGGCCCCTGACACTCAGTTTTTTATTTCTCAAATGAAGAGTGTTACCTAAATCATCGTTTCTGAAATTGGAAGAATCTAGCCTTGAGGACTGATAGCAGATGCTGTCTGAGAGCTGTTCTGCCTTTAACAATCACACATCAAATACTGGCCACCTCACTCCCTGTACCTTGGGAGCCAAGTCAGTCTTGACACTAAATCTCTGGGCAGTTTTGATAGAGATAATGGGTTTTCTTTTTTAGTATTTTATTTTGTTTTCTTTGTTTTGGGGTTGTTTATTTGTTTTTTGTTTGTTTGTTTGTTTGTTTTGCTTTTTTAACTTATTTATTTATTTATTATATATACTATAATCTTTCTGCATGTATGCCTGAAGGCCAGAAGAGGGCACCAAACCTCATTACAGATGGTTGTGAGCCACCATGTGGTTGCTGGGAATTGAACTCAGGACCTTTGGAAGAGCAGTCAGTGCTCTTAACCACTGAGCCATCTCTCCAGCCCCCTGTTTATTTGTTTTTGAAACAGGGTTTTTCCATGTAGTCCTGTCTCTCCTAGAACTTGCTCTGTAGACCAGGTTTAGAGATCGATTTGCCTCTGCCTCCCAAGTGCAGGGATTAAAGGTGTGTGCCACCATCGCCCAGCAGGATGCGGGGTTCAAAGGATAGGTATTTAAGTTAGTTAGATCAGCGTTCTGTTCCCGACAAGACCTCAGCCCTTCTTGCTTCTGCCTGTGGAAGCAGCAGCCTGGTGCTTTGCCCCTTGTCATGCTCGTGTCTTCTCTTGCAGCTTATCAAATACGGGGTTATTTCCACTGGCACCCTAATCGATGACCTCCTGAACTGGAATAACCTGTATATCGCTGGGCGCCTCCAAAAGCCGGTGAGTCTGTGCCCTTCACGCCACCTCAGCTAGCACGGCCTCGATTTGATCTTTGTGAGCTGAAAGATAGGAACTTCCAGGAAATGGATATGTCAGTAGTTCTCTTACCCTCTGTGATGTTGTGCAATAAGAGGAGCTTTTTATGCATAACATGTACGTATGCATCTGTGTGCTTGTAATGTATGTGTAAGGCATACAGTGTGCTTCGTCCTGGGTCCTGGCAGAGAGGTCCTAAAACCCATGGAATTCATGGATGGAACAAAGGGGCAAGGACTGCCACCCCTGAGCCACAGTCCCAGCCCCTGAGACGCTGGATGAGCATCTGCTTAGCTTAAGACGGGGCTAATTAACAGAGAAACAGCTACGGGGCGAGAGGGCTCCCCAGCTTCAGGAAGGTGAGGGGTACTGGAGATTGACTGAGAATTAATCGGTCACGCTCAGATAGTAGGACTGCCTTAAACAGGAAGCTGGAGAGATGACTCAATGGCCAAGAGTATCGACTGCTCTTCTACAGGGTTCAAATTCAGTTCCCAGCACGCACATTGTGACTCACGGCCATCTGTAACTCCAGTTGCAGGGAACCCGAAGCCATACATGTATGTATATGCCACCAAAACACTCATGCACACAAAATAAATGTATCTTCAAAAACAAAAATAAAACAAAATCCTAAACAGCAAGGTCCAAAGAGTCATGTTGGTGAACACAGTGAGGTGCTGAGGGTGGTGTCTTTCCATTTATTTTATTTATTTTTTCATTTGGGGAGAGGGGGAGAGAGAGCACAAACACTCTTTGTGGTGGATGTGAAGTGAACTCTCAGCTGTCTCCCGTCTCATAACCCGAACTTTAAATGTGGTAGTGCAGCTCATTAACATGACCAGGATTGTGTGTTTGAAGCAGTATGACACATCTGTGTCCCATTTGCACATGTGTATGTGTACTACACATGCATGTGCTCAGGTAAACATATGCACGTGATGCCATCCCTGTGTCTCTACTTCAGTTAGAAAATGTGGGTGTCTTGGGCTTGGAGCCCAGGGCCTGGTGCGCACTGGTTGAAGCACCCTCCAGCTGAGCATCATCCTTATCCCTGGAGAAGCATTTGTAAATATCCTGTATCCAGGATAACATTTTCTTTCAGACCAGCACAGTGAACAAATCCTGTCAAGATCCTATAGCCAGTAAAACCTGACACTAAGCAAGTTATCGCAGTTGAAAGTTTGTAAATACACATTTTCTGTCCCAGGTTTTCCTTCTGTTTTTTATTTTTCTTTGAGACGTGGTCCTGAGTCGTGTTCCCCAGAGTAGCTGGGGCTACAGGTGTGTGCCCGCATGCCCAGTCCCAAGAGTGTGATCAGAGGTGCTCTGCCACTGGGGTGACATTCCCAGGCCTGTGGCAGGTGTTGGGGTTTTGTTTTGGAGATATTTTATTGGGGGTGTTTTATTTTTATTTTATTTTACTTTTTTTTGTGGTTTTTCGAGACAGGGTTTCTCTGTGGTTTTGGAGCCTGTCCTGGAACTAGCTCTTGTACACCAGGCTGGTCTCGAACTCACAGAGATCCGCCTGCCTCTGCCTCCCGAGTGCTGGGATTACAGGCGTGCGCCACCACCGCCTGGCTTGGGGGTGTTTTATTTTTGTTTGTTTTTGCAAAACCTGTAGCTTGATGGGGAAGTAGTGACTATAAAAGGAGAAGCCTTAGGTCCTATTCTTTTCTGCATTGTTAGCTGTTTATATGAACTTGTACAATTGGGTTTTGTCTCTAAATCTCAGTTAGCCCATCTGCAGAATGGCGGTGACAGTCCTGCCCTGCCTGGAAACTGGAAGAAGGGTTGCACACTCAAAAGAACACAGCATTTTAGAATGCAACACACCTAGTCTCCGGTGTCTGCTTCTCATCTAACTGCATGCCCCGCACTGATGGCTGGGTCTCCATCACCTCAGGATAGTCCGTTTGTGGGTGGGTATTCCAAAGGGTTTGATTTAGTAGACACTCAGAAAATGCTGTTTCCTTCCCAGTGTTATTGGCTGTCTGTAATTTTCAAGTAAAAAGAGATTGAATCAAAATGTCTCTGTACTATACTTTTGCCTGGACTACTTTAAAGCTTTTTTTCAAGATTTATCTGTTATATAAATGGGTGTTTTGCCCTCCTGTATGTCTGTGTACCATGTGCATGCAGTGCCTATAGAGTCCAGGAGAGGGCGTCTGATCCCCTCAAACTGGGGTTATAGACCGTTGTGAGCTGCTGTGTGGGTGCTAGGAATCAAACCTGGGCACTCTGGGTGCCCTCAACTGCTGAACTGACTCTTCAGCCCTTTAAAGAAAGTTTTTTAAACTAGTCTTTAGAAACCAAAAATGCTAGCAAGGCAGTGGTGCACACCTTTAATCCAAAATTTGGGAGTCTGAGGCAGGCAGATCTCTGAGTTTGAGGCCAGCCTGGTCAACAGAGTGAGTTCAAGGAAGCCAGGACTACACACAGAAACCCAATCCCTCTTCTGGCCTCTTTGGGCACTACATGCGTGGTTCGTGTACATAAATGGACAGAAAACTTACTCATACACATTAAAATTAAATCTTTTGAATAAATCATTGAAGATGATAAGTGAGCCCCATTAACACTCCCCACCCCCACCTTGGCACCCACTTCTGTAGGAGTAAATCTGCCAGCCTCTCCCCATTAGGAGCAGCAGATAAACTTTTGACCTGTAGGTGGCAGTAAATACTTGTGATGCTTGAGCAAAGCTGATGGGTTGGTGACATCTTGTACAAGAAAATGAGCTAATGTCTCAAGAAAGAATCCGGAAATGTGTGAGCTCCTCGTCTTTTATGTTTTAAAAGGCATTGCATCGAATTATACCTTCTAGAGCTTCCGTAGTGTCTGTGTCTTGCAAATTGGAAAGGGATTTCTTACCTACCAGCAAGCTAAATGTTCAAAAGGAAGATAAAGGATTTGAAAAGAAGGACTTTTCTAGAAAGGGTTGGCTGTAAATTATCCTTCTATTACACGTTCATTGAGCAAGGTTGTGCATGCTTTTAGCCCTACTCTCAGGAGGTAGGGCAGGTGGATAGCCATACATTCCAGGACAGCCAGAAGCACATAAAACCCCATCTCAAAAATAGAAAAACAAATTAAATAAAAAATGTATTTCATACTTTCCTGTCAGCTTGCCTTATGGTTTAAAAGCTACCTATTTTTATTTCCTGAACAACTTTACGTTCTGAGTCACTTGCTGTCTATGTATGCGTTGGTGTAGATGTGTGCGTGCCTGTCTACCCATGCACAGTGCAGGGCAGGGAACCCAGAAGGTCAGCAGAGAGCTGTATCCCAAGTCCTACAACAGATGTTTTTTCAGTAAAAAATCGTGGAATTTGAGGGCTGGAGAGATGGCTCAGCCGTTAAAGGCTAGGCTCACAACCAAAAATATAAAAATTATGGAATTTGAAGTATTTAGTGGAGCTAAGCATGGTGATACAAGCTTTTAATCCCAGCTTTCAGGAGGCAGAAACAGGTGGATCTCTGATTCCAGGCCAGCCTTGTCTACCTAGCATTCTGACTAGCCAGTGAGATACTCAAAATTTTTTTAAAAAAATTTTTAAAAAAATAGCTAAAAATAACAACTTTCTTAAGAAAGAATTCATATGCATATAGTCCCATCTGTATAAAGCATACAATCGAGGGGTTTTCAGTATGTTCATACTAAGGTGGTTTTTCTCCATGTTGTAGTTTTATTGATTTACATTCTGAATCCCAGTGGCATAGGAGAGGCCTGGCCGAGGAGTCGGGAGACCTGGCTCTGCACTACTGTGAGCTGGCCTAGTTCACCTTTGAAATGCAAAGATTGAACCATTCATTTAGTGACTCAGAGGCAGCCAAGTTTCCCCTCTGTGCATGCTGAGGGGATAAAAAATAAGACCCCCATATCAGTTGTCCTAAGAGCCCCCAATCCCAGCAGGTAGACCAAGCTCCAGCCAGTCTCATGGCTCCAAGCAGTGACCACTTAGAGCAGCCACCTCCCCTGAGGTTTGGATGGGGAGGTTCTGGTGGGAGCCGAGAGTCACAGGCCTACACGGGTCTGGGTTTTTGGAGGCTGTGAGTTGTCTCCGCCTATCGCTGTGTTATACAGGAGCCCCTCGTGTGAGTCTTTTTCCTGGCTTGGGAAGCACTCACAAATCTCCCCTTTAAAAGACCCTTCAAGCATCGCCCGTCCTCCCTGCAGTTCAGATTGCTAATGCCGTCTGTGCGGTCCAGGTCGGAGCATTCCCAGTAGGTACAAACAGCTATTCACAAAATCTGAGGACTTTTTCTTTTCCCAGGCCTCTCTGGCAGGGCCCCAAGCTTTCACTGGCTTTTCACTCTGAACAACAAATAACAGAGCTGCGGAGACGAGGTCCTAGTTCACCTTTCGTTGGAGAACCAGATCCACACATTTTCCCCTTGAGTAAGGGTGCTTTCATTTTCCCTCTCTCAACCTTAAATAGCAAGCAGACTGCTCTCTGACAGGCTAGTAGAGGGCTTCTTAGAGAACAAGTGGCATTTCTTAACCAGGAAAAGATGCCCAAACTTGTGCGTTTCTTTGCATCTTTTAGCTATTCACATCCCCAAATAGCTCCTGATTTCACTGGGTTTCTGTGAAAGCCACAGAAACATACACAAAAGGGGGTTGTGGCACCGTTAAGGACCTGGTAGATGAGGGTGAGAATAGGAATGTGGTTGTCAAAAGGCCTCGGGGACAAATCAGGAGTTTCCCCACCAGTAGTGAGGTGAGGAGGTTGCCTTCCTGCATCCATGACTTCACGTGGAATGCAAGGTTATAAGGCCAGTGAGGTAGCCACTCAGACAGATGTGACTCCTGGAACCTGCATGTTGGAAGGAAAGAACCAACTCCCTTAGGTTGTCCTCTGAGAGCCACACGCGCACTGTGACATGTGAGCGTGTATGTGTGTGCGGGCACACGTGCACACACTCTCTAAATGAAAATGTTTAAAGGAAGGTTAGGGGATGAGCATGGAAGTTATTTTAGAAGCTTAAAATTGGGCCAGGGAAGCCTAGCTGAAGGTAAGGTGCTTTTCATGTGAAGACCCTGGGCTTGATCCATCGTTAGCACTGGAGAAAAATGGGGTTTTTGTTTGTTTGTTCATTTTGTTTTAACCATCTGTCGAGACAAGAAGTGCCTCTCTGAATCCATGAGGGAAACTCCGAACACTTAGAACGTGGTTGTCTAGCGTAGGCTTCACTCTGTTTCTGCTGCTGCTTCATCGCCAGCCTTTGGCTGTCCTAGACTCTTTACTTTTACTCAGTGAATGCAGTGATTCTAAACTCATCTGGAACTGAAAGGCTTAATTACGGGCCCGTCGTGTTCTCATCATGAGGGTGGAAGGGGTGATGTTGGATCAAGTGGATTTGCCTCACCTGCCGTACGTGAGGCTTGAGTGTTAGGAATACTCCAACCTCGGGTAATCTCACCACATACAAGACAGAGGGTGGAGTATTACCACAAGTTCACAACAAAACTATATCTAAAATCAGAACCGAGCACAGTGGTACATCCCTTTAATCCAGCACTCAGAGGCAGGGGCAGGAGGATCTCCAAATTTGAGGCCAGCCTGCTCCACATAGCAAGTTACAAGCCAACCAAGGTTACATGGTGAGACCCTGTCTTTAAAAAAGAAAAGAGAAGGAAGGAATGGGCATGGTTTGGCTTATTTTCAGGGTTCTCGTCACCCTGTCTAAGTAGAACATGACGATAAACTGTAGTTAATGCCAGCCCCCCCCCAAAGCCAAAACAAAAGAACAAACCCCCAAAAAGATAAAATAAGAGAAAGTTATTCTGTGTATAAGAAATCCAGAGAGGCTCCATCCGCCTGAGGCTGTGTGCAGTGTCTCCTTCCCTTTTTCCAGCAAACTTGTGGGATTGGTTGATGAGACCATTTTATTGCTGAGGATTTTGCCTGTTGCCATGGAGCTGGAAGCCACAGAGCTGGCACTGGGAAGTCCTGCTAACCATAGTGCAGACTTTAAACTGAGCACTTGGGAGTCAGGGAGCAACTCCTGCTGCATCGGAAGGAAAAGGCCCTTCAATTGAGCCAGGCAATTGTCGTACAGGGTACTGTGGGCTTGTATGATTCTCAGCCTTTGTGACAATTCTGGGTAGATTTGGGTCTGGCATGAGTCCAGAAGAGGGAGTCGGGTCCCCTGGAGCTGGAGCTACAGGCAATTGTGAGCCACCTGATGTGGGTGCTGGGAACTGAATCCTGGTCCTCTGGAAGAGCAGCAAGTGCTCACAACCACCTGTAACTCCAGTTCCAGGGCATGTGATGCCCTGTTCTAGCCTCTGCATGCACATGCTGCACATACTTTCATGCAGGCAAAACACTCATGAACATAAAAACTAATTTTAATAAGAATATTAACTTGTTTTTCTTTTTTTTTTCTTTTGTTTTTCTTGAAATCATGATCTTTTCTTTGTCACAATTTCTCTGACTTTGTCATTTGACAGGAGGTTCGGTGATTTCTTCTTAGAGTCATGATGGCTTTGTGTCTCTAGGCTTGCGTTCTTAGCTTTTCAGTGGCCCGCAGAGGGGGCAGTCAGCGTTTGAGCCACGCCCGCCCCTGCAGCGCTGCCTCTCAATGGTCTGCCTTTTCCAGGTGAAGATTGTATCGATGAATGAGAATGCGGTTCTTAGATCGGCCCTGGATAAGAACCTGAAGAGCGCGGTGACCACTGCCTGCCTCATGCTCCCGGAAAGCTTCTCCGAGGAAGACCTCTTCATAGAGATTGCTGGACTCTCCTACTCAGGTTTGTACAGTGTGTGTCCAGACCTTCCCCAGGGAGACTTCTGGAGAGTTTACGGTACTGGCTCCATCCCCAGGCAGCTGTTAATATATTTGGGGTGTGGCCCAAGCACATGTATTTCCAGCCAATTTGTGGATGACTGGTGCCCCTCCAGGGGTCCCAGTTTGAGAACCTCTGTCTCTGGTGTTCACCATACTGCCCCGCCCCACCCGCTCTTTGGAGCTATGTCCCACTACCATGTCCCCTTGAGGCCGCACATCCCAGTTTGTTTCCCAAGAGTAGGAGAGTGTCTTCATGCCGGCCGTGCTCTCTGCCTCGTGCGTGGTTTGTATGCAGGAAGCGTGGGCACAGAACCTGCTGCTTCTCACGCCATCCCCGACTTCACACACCCTTCACACTGCTCTTCACTGTGCCAGGGACGGTGTGGCAGGTCCTCGAGTCCTCTTCTTCCTGGACGTAAACTAAGGGCTTTTCTTTCTGCTCATTGATTTATTTGTGTTATTTGTCTAAATGCTCACTTAGGTTTTTTTTCAACCAGCTGTGTCTCTCAGTCTTGGCAAAGCTTCCCTGCCCCACCCCACCCCACCAAGAAGGCAAGAGGGTAGCAGAGAGAGCAGACCCCTGAGCCTCACCCTAGCTATTGAGCACAGCAAGCTTCCGTGCAAGCTTTCCTTTACAGGAACAATAGAGAGGCCCCAGCATGTGCTCCGCTCGGGTTCCATCCCAGCTCTGCGTGCATACACAGATCTTATTGACAAACTGATGCTTTCAAAAAGGGCTTTGTGGCCGGTGGATGACTCAGTGGGTAAGGGCGTCTGCCACAGAGCTTGATGATATAAGACCTACATGGTGGGAAGAGAGAACCAATTCTGGTTGAGTTGTTCCCTTGTCTCTCTCTCTTTCTACACACACACACACACACACACACTACATGAATTGAAAATGTAATTATTTATTTATTATTTTCGTGAGGGCCAAGAGTATAGCTGGAGGGAGGCAGAGTGCTTGATTCACACCGCAAGGCCTGGGTTCAATCCCCAGAACCACAAAAAGAAAAAAAGACTTGAAAATGACTCTCTTAAATAAATACCCTGTTTCCTGGTGTTTAAGGAACCCTGCCTGCACAGCAGTGGTGCGCTCATTCTCTGAAGCCCCAGCAGATAAGGTTTCCTGGAAATGCAATGCCTAGAGGGGCTCCGGAGGCCTGTCTCCAGTCCTCTTCTGAAGCCTCGTCCATCACAGCACAACTGTAATTGCAGCTGGAGAGAAAGGAAATGGGCTTGGTTCTGCCTTGGCTGCCTCTCACTTTACCTGGCAGTATCCCACCCTTCCCACCCCACCCCCACCCCCACACACCCCGTGAGCATGCAGAGGCAGAGTGGTCTGGTCGTACACCACATGCAGGGGCCTGGAGCGCTGAGTAGGAGAGCCTCTGGTTAGCACAGTTTCCTTGTCCAAACTGCTGGGAAGAAAAAGAGCCAAAGTCCTCTGTGCCTGGCTGACTGTGTCTGATGCAGGACTCCTGTCTTTGGCCCACAACATTGCAATCACTCATTTGTTCCCATAAAATCAGTGTCACCATCATGCTGGGTGGGTTCTGGGAGTAGTTATATATAAATGTTGAAACTTGACTGAATTTATCAAATTATATAGCAATTTTCATCTATCTATGGGCTTTTTTTTTTTTTTTTTTTTTTTTTTTTTTTTGCCCCTGGGAATAACAGAGAGGGCCTCCTGCATGCTGAACAACATACTCTAACACTGAACTAAACCCCGGTTCTGACTTTTTTAAAATGTGTGTGTATGTATGTATGTATGTATGTATGTATATAAGGATTTTAGTTTTTTGGGGGGGGGGTATTTTTTTTCAAGACAAAGTTTTTCTGTAGCTTTGGTGCCTGCCCTGGAACTAGCTCTTGTAGACCAGGCTGGCCTCGAACTCACAGAGATCCGCCTGCTTCTGCCTCCCGAGTGCTGGGATTAAAAGCATGTGTCTCCACTGCCCTGCAAATATAAATAAATATATATATATTGTTTTGAGACAAGGTCTCCTGTAACACCAGCTGGCCTTGAACTTGCTTTGCAGCTGAGGATGACCTTTAACTTTTGCACCACCTGCCTCTACCTCCTGGGATTACAGGTGGGTACCATCATCCCTGAACAGCCATTTTCTTCTAAAACCGGTTCAGGTTTTCTTGCTGGCCAGCGGCTCCTCTTACAAAATGCCCTCGCTCTGTTTCCTGGCTCCTGCCGGGGGCCATGATCCCTCTCACTCCTCAGAAGGGTCTTCAGGAACAGGACCCGGCTCCTCGTTTGCCAGGGACCTCGCCAACCAAAGGCCTACCTCTTTGATTTAATTGTACAACCCCCACACACACACCTACAGCTGGCTTTTCTTTTGGAAGTAAAGGATCCAGCTGTCCATGAAAACCTCACCATGGATCCCCTCGGGCAGTGTGGTGAAAGGCTCTACTTCCTCCTAGCTCTTCAGGGCTCATTTTGAGAACCCAGTGTTCTTGAGTTGCTCAGATTCTATCCTCTGGGCAAATACCCAAATCTCTCAAGATTTCAGATTGTTAGATTGTTCCAGCATTTATATTGCTCTATTTTATAGTCTTCCAAGTTGAAAGCTGTGAAATTTAATGTTTTTCAGGAAGTGGGGGGTGGGGGCAGGGGACGACCTATCTGTGGTTGCACAGGTTTCTGCCAGTACTTACTGGCAAGGGCAAGTTCTGCCAGTATTGGCAGGAATAGAAATAAGCTTGTACGTTTTATGTAAAACTGATGACCACTTTGCTGGCAACATTCATGTAAATGGCAGGTAAGGAAGGAGCAGGTAGAGAGAGCCACCTGGCCTTAAGTTGTCTGAGAAGTGACAGAAGAGTTCTCATGAATGGTGGGATCACCTTGAACTTTCTTATGTATGCTTAAAATATTAAAAGGACTAGTTTCATAAATGGAGTTTCTGGCCTGCCTTGTCCCACAGCCAATTCAGTAATAATAAAACAATTATAAACTGTTTGACCTATTAGCTCAGGCTTATTATTAACTAGCTCTTACAACTTAAATTAACCCATAATTCTTGTCTATGTTAGTCACGTGGCTTGGTACCTTTTATCAGTGAGGCATTCTGATCTGGCTTCTTCTACATCTGGCTGGTGACTTACCCTGCCTTTCCTCTTTTCTGAATTCTCTTACTCTGGTTGCCCAGCACCCCCAGCCTGGGTACAGGTCTCTCACCTGTGCCAGCACCCCCAGCATCTCCCCACTTTCTGATCAGACCTGGGCGTGGGTCTTAATTTTTTATCTTTAGCCTTCATTCCAACAACTAGGATGAGATAAAAAAAAAAAACAGCCTTTTTGTCGTGTGTGTGTGTGTGTGTGTGTGTGTGTGTGTGTGTGTGTGTGTGTGTGTGTGCTAATGGGATCTGAACCCAGGTCTCATGCCCACTCTGCAAATGCTGGACCCTTGTGTGTCTGCCAGCACAGCAGGTGCTCAGTCAGTGTCTGAGGATGGACAGAAGCCATTTTGTGGTGAGTTGGCCTGAACTGTAGAGGAGCCTGGGTCTTTGTTCCTGCTGTGCTCAGCTGTGTTGCGTTTGTCTGAAGTGTGAAGGGGAAACATGCCTGTCGGCATCCCCTCAGCGTTCCCTGCTCGTTTCTCATGTCAGCCAGGGTAATGTCTTTTCTGCAGCTGAGGAAAAACCTTCCAGAGTGGCATTTGGGCCACCTCCTGAAACACTGCTTTAGTTATTTCTGTTAAAATAAACCTGTGTCCACTTGTAGAAGAATGAAATTGGGTCCCTAAGTCACACTGTATACAAAATTAATTCAAACTGGATCTTTGACCTAAGAATTAATGTACAAGGTAAAACTCTTAAATTTGGGATTACGAAATGGTTTCTGAGATTACACCAAGAGCTGAAATAGCAAAAAAGAAAAACAAACAAAAATAATTATACCCTTAATCCCAACACTCAGGAGGCAGACGCAGGTGGGGTCCCTTAGAGTTTGAGATCAGCCTGGTCTACAGAGTGAGTTCCAGGCCAACCAAGATATATGATGAGAGTTTGTCACAAAAAAAGGAACCATATTAAGAAATTTAATGCACTGTAAATAATAGTATCATCCCAAGAGGTGAAAAGACAAATGAAATTGGACGCTGTTTCAAAAATCACGTTTTTGAAAACAGACCAGTGTCTTTAAAATTCCAGCAAAAAATAAGCCAAATTAAAAGCAGGCCAAGTCTCAGAATGGGCATGTCCTTGGGGAAGAAGTGTGAAGTTTCAGCAGGCCCATGGGTGGTCAGCCATCACCATGAGGGACCAGCAGAGCCAGGCACTGCCTTCAACCTTAAGAAGTGCAATTGAAAGGAGGCTGCCAGTTATGGGTTGTGGGGGCACATGCCAGTAGGATTTGCTGAAAGAGGCAGGAGACAGGAAGATCACAAGTTCAAGGCCAGCCTGGGCTACACAGTTTTTTTGTTGTTGTTGTTGTTTGTTTGTTTGTTTTTGGTTTTTCGAGACAGGGTTTCTCTGTGGTTTTGGAGCCTGTCCTGGAAGGCTACACAGTTTAAAAGCAGGCAGTGGTGGCATAGGCCTTTAATCCCAGCACTGAGAGGCAGAGGCGGATGGATCTCTGTGAGTTCAAGGTCAGCCTGGTTTCCAGAGCCTACAGAGCAAGGTCAGGGACAGCCAAGGCTGTTACAGAGAGAAACCCTGTCTCAAGAAAGAGAAGGGGGTAAAGGGGGCAGGAAGAAAAAGGAGGCAAGAATGAGTGCTAATGAGTGGAAACTGGCACCTTCTTGGTTGCCGATGGGAGTGTAAAATGGCACAGAGTGCACTTCTCCAGAATACTGAGTGTGTTAAAGGACCCCGAGTCTACTCCCAAGTGTGTAACTCAAGATAAATAAAAACACGCTTAGCTGAAAATTTCTCTGAATGTCACAACATGCTTCATAATGAATAGTCTAAAAGTTGAGATAACCCCCAACATCCATCGACTAAAATGGGTAGATAAAATTGGTACGTCTTCACAATAGAGTTAGCACCATAAACAGGCATTAAGGACTGACCCATGGTACGGACAACTTGTATCATGAAACATTTTGCTGAAGTTTGTGTAAGACCACAGGCAGTGGTTCCATGTGAGCCAGAAGGACTGAGAATGCAGCTCAGTAGGATAGCAGTTGCCTAGCGTGCATAAATCCTGGGTTTGTTCCTAAAGGGGGGAGGAGCCAGGAATGGAGGGGCACAAATGGAACCCCAGAAGTTGACAGGCCAAGGCAGGGGGATCATGAGTTCCAGGCTGGTCTGAGCTGGGTAGCCGGTAAGGGAAAGCTGTGGAGACAGCCAGCCTCTGCCTGAGGCTTGCTTAGGGGCGACAGGAGATGGTGGGTGGTTATTAATGGCGTGGGGTTTTTGTGGGGTGTTTGTTGTGATGGTTGCATTATGCCGAGACATATTAAAAACATTTGCTTCGTGTACCTTTAATGGATGAATTGTCTGGCGTGTGAGCTCAGAAACTTTGGAAAGTGGGCGTTTTATTTTTGCCACGGCAGATCCAGTCTGAGCTGCAGTCCTTAGACACAACCTGCACGGAAACCTGTGCATGTTGCTTGCTGCATGGAGTAGAGTCTGTGTGTCTCTGCAGGGCTCAGTGTGGCTTCTGATACTTGGTAGCACCCAAATATTCATTGTACTGAAATGACATTGGTCCTGTGGTTAGTTTAAAAAGGCAAAAGTAACCAGTAGCTGTGACTTTAGACTAAGGACTTTGTCTACCCACCGTCCTTTCCCTACCAATAGTATCTACTATGAGGCCACCGGTATACAGTCTTGGAGACTCCACCATGAAGACCCAGCCTAGTCTTGGTCACTCCAAAGGCCATGCTCAGATAGTTTTGATCCTTTTTCCTCACAGTAAAGACTACAGCCTGGTAGGGGTCACACCGCACTCTGTCTATTGCAGACAGTTTTGCATTTTTACTTTTTCCCAACAAGCCAACAGTTTACTCAAGAAAATTCCGCTATGCAGGCCATAGCCTCTTAGAATCCTTCTTCCCCCAAGAAAAGGAATTGGCAAAGGTAATATAGGTTCTGATATAATTGTCACAATGCTCTCATTAACCCCAGAAGTGACCTTTTGAGTGACAGGTTCTCTCCCATCCTACTCCCGAGGGGCCTCCTTAGCAAATGTGGCATCTGTCTGCCCCACGTGGGCTTCAGCGCATCCCTGTCATGGCACTTCACCTGGAAGCCCTACTGTTCTGTCCTGGCAGCACCAGGATGCAGCCCAGAGCCTTGTGCCAACCAGGATTATGCTCTACCCCTGAGGCGCATACCCCCACCCCACCAGCCTCTTGCGTTCACCCAGATGGTCCGTTTTACTGCCCTTCCCTCTATGGCTGCCCCATCATCCTCAGTGGCAGAGGAGTCACTTCTCGTTAGCTTCAGAAGCTGTGGCAGTGGGTATGGTGGCATGTGCCTAGAACCCCTAGCAGACCAGGAGGGTCAAGAGTTGAAGGCCAGCTCGGGGCTACATAACAAGTTCTAGGCCAGCCCGGGCTTATTTGAGGCCTTGACTCAAAAAGTCAAAAGTAAAGAAAGTAGGAGTTACTCTTTCTCCTTCAGAGTAATTTTTTTTTTTGCCCAAAATTCATCCTGTTGCAAATATTGCATCCTTCATTTCTTTCCACTTAAAATTTTTAAAGATGTGTTTTCTGTGAAGGAGTTGTTTTGCCTGCATGTGTGTCTTCTGTGTTCATGCAGTTCTCTCAGAGGCCAGAGATGGTGTCAGATCTAGGGTGCTGGGAACCTAAAGTCCACAACTGGCCACAGGCGGGGTTTCCATGTTTGCCAGCGCAAAGGATTCCTTAGTGGAAAAACAAGCTTTGATGGCCAGGCCGGTGACCCCATGTGAGAGGATCACTGGACGGCAGCTGATATACAGGACTCTGACTTCAGACGCTCTTTTCCCCCAAACTCTCAAATTCCTTGTGTACCGTGATGGCCATTTTTCAAAAGAAGGTGTTCTGCTGAGGGATCCTGCCATGATGTCCAGTGAGCCCCAGTCGTTCGTGGATCAGGACGGGAATTCTTCTTGAAGATTGACTTTTCTGGTTCTTTTGACTAGGTGACTTTCGCATGGTGATTGGCGAGGAAAAAGCAAAAGTCTTGAACATCGTGAAGCCCAACGTAGCCCATTTCCGAGAGCTCTATGGGAACATTTTACAGGAGGACCCCCAGGTGGTGTACAAAATGCAGCAGGGCCGACTAGAGGTGAGCTGTGCGCCCTGACGCCTACACGACCAGAGGAAGAGCTGGGATTCCTTCATTCGTTCATTGTTTACTGATGTTTCCTGGGATGGTAGTGACTGAACCTGTGCCTCACACATCCTAGACAAGTAGTCTGCCACTGAACCACATCCAGCCTTTTTGGGACTTCTTGGGACTTCTTGAGGCAGGGTCTTTCCAAGTCGCTCTGGGTGGTTTTGAACTCACTCCACCATCGGGAAGCCTTGAACCTGGCAATCTTCTACCTTAGCCCCCCAAGAAGCCAGAGTTACAGGCCAGTTCATGAGGCTGGTGGCAAGAACTATCTTTTTTTCCTGTTACTGATTTGTTTACACTAACGAAAGGAACGTGTCCATTGATATTTTCATGCATGTCCGTCCTTAGACTTGTTCTCTTCACATCTCAACCCTCTGAGTGCCCTGGCCACTCTGGCCTCTTCTCTTTTGTCACTCGGTCAGTCACCATTCTGCTTTTGATTGAATGCAATACATTACCCTCCCTACTTCCTCTTCCTGACGATGCCCTCTTGTCTAATGAGGCTGCCTTATTTCCCTTATGTCCAGCCCTGTCCATTTTCCTACAGTTACCATGGTTTCATTTTTCTTTACAGTTCCATTGTATATCTGTGCCACGTTTTCTTTTCTTTTGAATTATTTTGGACAGTCGGTGGTAGCCCATGCTGTTTACTTCAACTCCCTATGTAACCAAGGATGACCCTAAGTTCCCAATTCTCCTGAGTGTCAGAATTCAGGCATGTGCCACCGTGCCCCGTTTATAGAGGGCTAGAGCTTAAACCCCAGCCCTGCACCGTACTCTCTCCATCCATTCTTCTGTGAACAACAAACCTGGTTCTGTTTCCTGGCTGTTAGGGATAGTGCTGCAATAAGACAGCTGAGCCAGAGGCTCCTGTGGCGTATTTACTTAGACCCCTTTTAGGTCACGCCCAGGAGTTAAGGTAGAGCCAGGTCTTTTGAGAGCTGTGTATGAATTCATTAGACCATTTGTCACTATTCTGTCACCATGTTGCTTACCAGGTGACATTAATGCCATTTAATTGACTGGGCTGGCAAGATGGCTCCGAGAGTAAAGATCTCTTCCAAGCCTAACTCCACCAGTTATCTCTGGCCCCTGCATACCCAACGTGGCATGTTTGCCCATACCCATAAATAAAGAAATGTAATTTTTTTAAAAGAAAAAGAAGGGAGGGACATTCTGCCTTTGGTGTTGTAGACAGATGTAACATACAGAATATCCAGGTTTCTGGCTTCCTTCAAATGTCTCATCAGGAGGGTTGTAAACATGAGTCCATCCCTGAGGCAAACCCCAAGGTATAACTTGTTTCTTTGAAAGTAATTGTGAACTGATTCTTATCCTTCTTCCAGCAGGAATGGAGAACAGTCCATTGGTCCCTGTCAGTCACAGCCATGACTCTCCTGAGCGCCCCTCAGATAACACCACAGCTGGTGCTGAGAGCCCTCAGGATTTCTGTTTGCTCGGGTTTTCAATCATGCGCTGTAACCCACTAGGATTCATTTAGTTCTTGTAAAGGCCAGACTTCCTGGGGACCTGACAGAGGCCATCAACACTTTTTCTTTCCTGGGGCCTTCTAGAGAGATGGCACTGTTAGGGTGGTGGGGGTGGGGTAGGAAAGAGACCAGCTTAATAGTCGAGAATCTGGGGGCCAGCAGATTTCCGATCAGTAGAGCAGACTAAGTGGGCTGGAGACCCAGGGAAGAGTTGGCGCCGCAGCCTTGAGTCTAGAGGCAGACTACCTGCTTCAAGGGACCTTGGGCATTTCTCTTGTAGCCTTCAGCTGACAGAGGAGCCTGCCCTACTATGATGGGGAGTGATCAGCAGTATTTATACTCACCTGATCTAAATGTTAATTGAATCTTAAAAATGCCTTCTCTTTAACATCCTGGGTGGTGTTTGACCAAGTAGCCGAGCACTGTAAATTAATCAAGGAACACAAAATGGCCACCATACCCCACATTTTCTGTGTGTACAGACAGCACCCGTCTCTCCTTCCAGAAGTGTGATTTTACTTTTTCTCACTGCTCTGGCCAGGGGGAAAGAGTGGCAGCTCTGACGTCCCTCCGTGGAGTTTGCTCATGGCACTCCTAGTGCCAATCTCGGATCAGGTGCTTCTGCACCTGAGGGCTCCGGCTCTGAGGCTGCTGGGAGCTGAAGGGCCTCAGGGTTCTTCCAACTCAGGGAATACGCCAGGTCTTTACCTCCGACCAACCTACACACACAGCAAGTCAGATGAATGCCTTCATCTTTTTTTTTAAATTTATTTATTATGTATGCAATAGTCTATCTGTATGTATGTCTACAGGCCAGAAGAGGGCACCAGACCTCATTACAGATGGTTGTGAGCCACCATGTGGTTACTGGGAATTGAACTCAGAACCTTTGGAAGAGCAGGCAATGCTCTTAACCACTGAGCCATCTCTCCAGCCCCGGCCTTCATCTTTTTTGTTTGATGCTATTGTTTGGGACAGGGTCTCACTGGGTCCTAGCTGGCCTGGAACTCACTGTAGCTGGCCTGGAACTCACTGTGTAGACCAGGATGGCCATGTGAGTGTGGCCCCCACATGACTTTGTGGAGTTGATTCTCTCCTACCTTGACATGGATCCTGGGGGTGGGGCTCAGGTCACCTGGCTGCCCCTGAAGCTGTTCTTTTCCTCGGTGCTGGAGGTGGTGCTGCTTCTGCATGGAGCAGGCAGCTGCGTTCACGTGTAGCTTTCATGTTGTTTATTTTTAATTCTATGAGACAGAATACAGTGTATTAGGGAACTGGTCTGGTCTCAGCAGTGGGGCTAACTTTTGATTCACCGGTCCCCAGGCAATACATAGTTTTATATCTGTCTTTGTCCTAGAACAGCTTAATGTATTTAGACTACATTAGAGCAGAACCAGCTGGGTGGCTCAGTCATTTGTAACAAGTCATGACAACTAAGTTAACCACTTACCTTCTGTGTTCTGGAGGGCGCAGAGGGAGGCAGGCTTTGTCATCAGTGTGTCCCTGCAGCCATTTGTGAAGTACAGCACTGGGGAGACGCGCCCAGCCCGAGCAGGGGCACGAATTCAGACCCCAGGGTCTCGTACTCACCACCCCTCACAGCATTCAGAGTGAGGAGGAAACGCTGAGCCCTGCGTTTGATCTGGACTTGTTAGCTGCAGCCCACCTCCCGTAGCTGCTGATTTAAGACAAGTCAAACATGATAAACTTCAAGTCAGAAACTGATCCTTCCTCCAAAGAGGTTTCTCTTGGAGCTGGAGAGATGGCTTCGTGGTTAAGAGCTGTTCTCGCAGAGACCCTGGATTTAATTCCCAGTACCTCCGTGGTGGCTCAAATCTGTCTGTAACTCTGATTCTGAGGGATCTGACACCCAGTTCTGGGCTCTTCAGGAACTAGGCGCACGCGTGGTGCACAGACATATGTGCAATCAAAACACCAATGCATAAAATAAAATAATTTTTTGAAAGATGTTTAAGAGGCTTCTTTTCTCACAAAGAAGTGGGATATTCTAAAACCAGGGCTGTCCTTTTTAAAGGGACCTGTAATCCTGACCATGTAAATACTCAGTTTCTTCCACCACCCGGGGAGGGGTGGCGCTTACGTTAGAGGAAGGAAAACCTTATTTGATACAGATGTGTGCATGGGAGTCCTGTACAGCACGAGACTCTTGTTTGCGGGATTCTTAAATAGAAGCCATGTGTCTGACAGTGTCTAGACTTCAGAGCATTTGCAAAGACGTCATCTCTCTCTCTTTTTCCCAGATAGATAAAAGCCCAGAAGGACAGTTCACCCAGCTAATGACATTGCCCAGAACCTTACAGCAGCACATCAATCACATCATGGACCCTCCTGGGAGAAACAGGGATGTGGAGGAGACCTTACTGCAAGTGGCTCAAGACCCCGACTGTGCCGATGTGGTGCGGCTAGGTGTGTCCACGAGGACGGTGGTAGGCAGGGGCTGGCTGTGGGGAAAGCCGCCTCTGCCCTTCTGATGCATTCATTGTTCCTTCCTCCTAGCCTAAGGAGATCAAGAGAGAGCGTGCATCTGGGGAGAGGAAAAACATGAACAGTTGGGGGTTTGCAGGATCCTGGGCTCTAAAGCACTTCAGTGATTGAAGTGCAATTCTTTAGGTTTCAGGAACGTAACTTGTCTGAAAGATGTGTCTGTCCCTGTGGTGTGAGAAGGAAAGAGACCGATGGCATCTGCAGCTTCTCTCTGACTGGCACCAGGTTCTGTCAACCGCCCTGAGGGCTGTCAGGCTCTGTTTCTCCTAATTAGGTCCCTTCTTAATGCTCATCAGAATATTCAGATCTGGGTGGTGGGGCTGACCTGTGATTTCAGTGCTCGCCAGTAGTTCAGGACCAACCTAGGCTGTAGCAAGGTGAGGCTCTGTCTCTAAAGACAACAGAAAACTCTCACCCTTTTCTCGAGAGATCCACTTCTCCCTAGGGTAGCAAAGGACAGCAGGAAAGATGTAATTATGAAACTGAAAATGACCCATGTCTCAAACGAGTCCTTTTTCCTGCTCTCCCTCAGTAAACATTTATTGATTGGAAATGCGGTTTACAGTAGGAATTTGGAGGGCGACTCACAGCTAACCCGAGACTGGCTCCTCTGTCCCTCTCTCAGGAACCTGCACCAGGTTTCTAAGTGTGTCCACGTGCTCGCTCTTGTGTGGCCAGGACAGGCCGTCACTGGGTTGCTGCTGTCCTGAGGCGATGGAAGACTTGGACCCTGTGTCTTAGCGTATTCTCTTTATTTACTCTTACACTGGACACTTTTCCCCTAGATAAAAAAGAAACTTTTCTTTAACTCTTCTGCATCTTGGAACGCAGAACTAGAAGACACAAGCAGCTTTAAATTCCTAAGATGACCTTTGAGGATCTCCTGGCGTGCCTCTTGTTTTAAGGTGTCCCAGTTGCCCCGCAGCCTTTGCCAGGGGTCACGCAGCTGGGCCTGACCCCAGCTGGCTCCGCAGTGCCCAGCTGTTGTAACACCTCCTCAGTCACTCCTCCACTAGTTCTGTTGAATAGCTGCAAATGTCTAGTTTTAGATCCTTGAAGACTGCTGCCATGACAGCCATCTGTCTGGGCTTCTCTTGGTATCCTTTTTGTTTCTGTGTTTTGCAGGGGTCTCATCAATCGTCAGACCTTCAAGCATCAGGCAGAGCACCAAAGGCCTCTTTACTGCTGGTAAGAGCTTTGGAAATAGGCGCCTATGGTATACCTGCTGTGTACCCGCTGGCCAGAGTGGCTTCAGTGCTGGTGGTTGAATGTGCATGCACCTCCCCTGGTGACTGGTGGTTCTGGTGCAGGCCTCCCATCCCCCCTGGACACTGCAGTGCCATAGACACAGCTGTGACTGCAGTGTGACCTGGACATCTGCTGGCTCACTGTCTGAGGCGCCTCTCCTCAGTCCCGCCCGCCGACAGCTCCTGTGTGGGGTTTGCCCTCATATTTCCATAGCGAAGTCATACTGGGAAGCAGCACTGCCAAAGCTGCGGTGCAGGGAGCTCCCTCCCCAGCACCCCTCACCGACACCGTGAGGGAAGCAGTGGATTTATGTTGCCGGTCCTCTGCCCTTCTGCTTTAGGTGCCATCTCCCGTGGGTGATCTGAAGGCAGTACTTGGACCACCCAGCTATGTCCTCCTTCCTGTCAGGCGCACCCACTCGCGTCCTCCCTCCTGTCTCAGAACTGCTCTCATACTTGCAGTTTGGGCTAAGTCACTACTGAAGGTTTGACGCTCAGGGGAGGCACGTGGTATGCTCTTCCTCCTCGGCTGCCCTGCGGATCTCTGTCTGGTCCCTTTGGTCTGCGCCTTTCACTCTCTCCGTGCACAGACTCCTTTTGATGAGCAGGCTCCTGGAAAAGAATGAACTTGGAGACTGTGTTTGAAACCTTTTTTCTCTATCTTTACACATAGTTAGCATTTAGGCCAGGTAGAGAATAAAAATAATTTCCCTTCAGACTGGTCACTGGTTCTGGTGGTGCCCACCCATAATTCCAGCACCCAGGAACTCACAGTTCAAGGTCTGCATAGCAAGACCCTATCTCTGAGCAAAATAGAGAAGGGAGGGAGAAACAGAATTTTGAAATAATTACTGCAATTATTCTCTCACTTTCCAGACTACTGTTGAAGTTCAAAGCCATGCTGCTCCTTAATCCATCGTGTGTGTTCTCCATGGAAGCTTGTGGTCCTCCTCCTCCTCTGTGGCTCTGGAGGCTAGTGATGCTGTGGTCCTCCTCTGGGGCTCTGAAGGCTAGTGATGCTGTGGTCCTCCTCTGGGGCTCTGGAGGCTAGTGATGCTGTGGTCTTCCTCCTCTGGGGCTCTGGAGGCTAGTGATGCTGTGGTCCTCCTCTGGGGCTCTGGAGGCTAGTGATGCTGTGGTCTTCCTCCTCTGGGGCTCTGGAGGCTAGTGATGCTGTGGTCCTCCTCTGGGGCTCTGGAGGCTAGTGATGCATTGTTGTGATTGTTCTGATCTCTTCTCCTGGCCATTCTCAGTGGGGAAACCCAGAATAGTCTCTCATTCCCCATTTGTTTTCTCAGTTCTCTTTTTCCTCAGTGTCCTTTATCCAGATGCTGGGTTCCTAGGCCAGGGGTTGCTTTTTCTTTTGTCTCCCATGTGTTAGCCTTGTGGTCTTTTCCCTCTGCTCTCTGGGAGTTTTCTCAGCTTTAGTTGTGAGCCTGCAGGGTCTGTCTGTGTGTAGGGGGTATTGGGTGTCACATCCTATACAAGCCCTTTCCCACCGCGTTGTAGTCCTGGCCCCTGCTCCTTCGTCTTTTATCCCCAGCACTTTTGTCAAATAAAGTGGCTCTGTTGATGAGTAGGGTGTGGGAACTCTTCCTCCTCCCCCTTTCCAGCACTTGGCATCATCACCTTTGTTAGAGACCCATGTGTTAAGCGTCTGTCTTGTGCTGGCTGCTCAGCATATGAAAGTGGGCTTTGGCCATCTTGCCTCCTGAGCTGGAAAGGGAGACAAGACACTCATGTCCATGGAAATGGGACAGTGGCTCCCAAACCAAGTGATCTTTCACCCTGTACCCGCTCCTTGGATGTGAGACTGCCTGAGCTGGTGTGGCCACATGTCTTAGAGTCCCACAGCCCCGTGCATGCCCATTGGAATATTTGTTCCCAGGATATGGCATTGCCTTCCTGAGTCTGTGGAAAGATCTGGCCGGGTTTCAGCAGCACTAAACACTAAGTCAGCTGCAGAAAAGATCTCCTACAACTCAGTGGGTAGCCTTGTATTTCTAACTAAGGTAGCCATTTATTCTGTGCTCCTGCTGGTGTGTCCTGGCAAAGCTGACATGGAGGTGCTTTTGTTTGCTCGGGTGAATCAGGCTCTCAATTTGTGCTGTGCCTGTTGCTGGCTGCTCCTTGCCGTGATCAACCTTGAGTGAGACTTACAGATTCTTGAACGGGGACTTTCTGGAAGGAACACTTAATGCTTTTAGTTGTGATAATGGTGTTATTTGGGTTTGCTTTTTTTTATATCTTGTTCCTTCAGAAAGACATGCCAAAATATTTGTGGATTAAAATAATATGATGCTTGGGATTTGCTTTATAATAAATGGTGTAAGGGAGTGGATTCTGGACTGTTTCTGAGCTGGTGTGTTGTTGAAACCCAGGAAAGATAAGTAGGGTTCTATCAGTGTTCTATATTCTATCAGTATTTGTATATTTTTATTTAAACAGGGCATTATATAACCCTGGCCAGCCTCAAACTACTATGTAGCTAAGGATGACCTCAAACTCTTGATCCTTGTGTCTCTATCTCTCGTGTACTAAGACATAGCAGGTTTGTACCACCGCACCAGGGCCTCATTCATGCTGGGCACATGTTCTCACTGAGCCACACCCAGACAGTGCATTGCTGTGTAGTACAGGTTGACCCTGCCGCCTTAGCCTCTGGATGCCGGAATTTCTGTCGATGTCAGGTTGAATATGAGTGGGGACGGGGGATTTTAGGAAAACCAAGCTGTTTTCTTTACAGGACTCCTTTGGCCAATGAGAGGCTTCACTGCTCCGTGCTTGCACACTGTGGGGCAGAACTAAACTGTCAGTTAAAACCTTGTTGACACTGTGGATCCAAACAACAGAGAAACTAAAGGATCTTGTCCAATTCTGTGCCTGATTTTAATAAAAGTGACTTCGGTTGTAGCGATGTCTTACTGAGAGACGCAGCCTCTGTGAAACTGAATAGCAGTGCTGTCGTGAGACATACCAAAATAAACCCAAAACTACTTCTTCTGTTTGAATACTGAAGATAGGACAGGAGCTGGGGGGCGGGGGGGGGGGG